GCCAGGTGTAGGGTGGCGCAAGGCTCGAGGTGGACAGAAGTTGACTTGGCAACGGGAAATGAAGTTATTGACGACCAAACTGGGTGCAGTTGGTCCGTTTCGTTTTCCGGGCTGGAGTCCACGTGACTCGTCTTGTGCTTGGCTCGAGACTTTACAGGACATTGCTTGTGGTAGACAAGAGTGGCGCGTCTGCTGCCGTCTTCTAATCGGATTGCCTGTTTAAAGTGTGTTTGGTGCGGAGTTATCTGCGGGTTAATGTCTGATTATGACGTGGTGCGATGAAGGCCGCAAGGAAGCTGTTTTGCCGATTCTGCCTTAGCTTTGCACGATAGACAGCTGCTTGTGACGGTATGTTGTCTACACAAGGTGCAGGCGCCTTGACCCTGAATGTTCGCGTGAGGCATTAAGATTTTTTGGCATGTCCTTCTTGTTTCCCTCTTCTTATTCTTTATTTCATAGGTCCCCATGGTTGTATGGAAGTGAAGCATCAGTTCAAATGGCTGATGTACTGTTGTTGTGCTATCCACCGAGTACAGAAGGACTATTGTTTACACTCGGATTTTAATTTAGCCTCGTGGCCTTCTCGTAGACAAAGGCTTGGGTTCAGACCCGACTCAAATTTAGTGATAGACATGATGACAATTGACTGAACACATTCCGTTAAACGCAGTATGCAGCATGGTTGAACTACTGCAAACATGACTCAGACAATTTCCGTCGATAATGGAATCACGTTTAGCTGAAACTTTTGATGGATCGTTATCTTGGCGTCCAAAGTAGACCGACTGCTGTTGCTCTGATAACTATGAACCCAGTGTAACTGGGATGCTCACGGTACAGGGGCTGCCTCACCTGACATTAGTCATTGTAAGTCCGCTCGGAATGGTACTCTAATATCTTAGTTTTCCTGGTCACCCGTGTCCAACATAAACGTGTGATTCTGTATTCTTTACCACTAAGTCTGTGTTTGAGTTAGTGCCGCAGAAGAAGAAAGAAGGCGACGGACGATAGAGCCAACGTTCCTGACCCCGCAGTTACAATAAAAGAGCCGTACGTAATTGCTAGTACTAGGCAACGCTTGATAATACCCACTTTAATTGTCACGATGTGCCTTCTTATGCAACCGTTTGGGCTGATAAATGTACAGTGGATACTCCACCTTAATATGACGTCTGTATTGACTGGTCTAGTCATCGCGTCCGTGGTAGAAAACTGAGCAGCTCATGATGTTCCTAGCTTGAGTGGAAATACATGACTATTTCGTACGATATCGGCTACTATCTGGCTGAGCACGGAAAGTTTATTTCCTGAGACTCAACTCTGTCCCACATAAGCCGGAAACGCGCTTGGGGGCACAGCAGCAGCATCACACTAAAACAACAAGTAGCTGTCGATCACCGAGGCTTTTGTCATCTCCGATCCTGTGGTCTTAACCTCCAGTTCGAAAAAGTGGGATCGCAGGTGATGGCCAGCCGTCTGTTGGGTGGAATGCGCACTGTTGCAATTCTCGAAAGCTCGGTGCTATCGTCTAACAGGTTTTCAGACGTATCACGACTCTGTGGCTGCAGTGACTGTTGTGTTATCTCGCCGAACGCTGCGCACCTTTATTCCAATACACCCTAATAGTTGTGCAAAGATTAAACACAACGGCAACTGCGTCTTACTTTATGGTACACCCCTCTCGGCAATAGATGCATCGTCTGGCGCGAGTGCAGAGACGACAGTGTCAAATTTAAAGCCGCTTTGCGCTACTCCACGACAAAGCAGCTGAGTGGTAAGGGGTCAAGAATACCGTTACCCGCAGTTTGTTTCCACACTACCTGCCCACATATGTTCCTAATACTACCTGTCATTCATGGTTGGTAATAAAAACCGGCCAAGAATTGACGAAGAAAGAAGGTCAGCAGCACCCTTCGATCTCATATCTATGACCATTCATACAGTAGCTATGGAAACCTTAGCGAAGTGCGCGATGGTGGATGGGTTGATTGCTTACCGGCATAGCGTTGAGATTTGACAAGTCCTGTAGGGTGGTTAAGATGAGCATCGAATCAAAAGTCAAATGTGCAATGTAATATGCGTTTCGGCGGACTTACACCATGTTCTCGTGAACCCGGATGTAAAAACTCCCAATTGTAGATTCTGATGAGCGTACCATTTACCTATGTCATATCATCTCCAGATGAACACGGGCTGTATTCCTCCAGCCGGTGACAATATACGTGAAGAACTGAAGCATACATAGTGTGATTGCAGAGAGAGTTCACGTGAAAGCACTTTGGAAAATAGAAAAACTCGGGTGCATAGCCAGTTGGTCATACAGAGTAACCAGCCTCATCTCGTGACTACAAACCTTGTAGCTGTAGCTAGGATCCAAAAAGTAGTAGTAGTAAAGTAGGTATGATTGCAGCTCCCGAGGATCTACTTCGCGTTTGTCGCATCACCGAAAAATTGCCGAATCTGTCCGTTGCAATTGGTTGGCTTAAGTTTCAAGTTAGCTTGGGAAATGAGACAGGCACTAGGCATCCTAAGTCAATTTTATTATGGAATATCAAGTACAATACTATTGCGTTTCTGATAGAACAGTCGGATGTGGATGACGGCTACCGCACGAAGATTAATACAAGTGTTTGGAATCTACAATAGGCTAAAGGAACTAAATCACTGCAATGCTTTCTTCGACTGATGAACGTGTTGATCTCTGAGTTAGGACACCTCAGATCGCTTCGAGGAGCCGTGCTCATCATCAACCAGCATGATGACACTGCTCTGCGAATTGGGTCTCCGTAGTACATGATTTCAAAGCGTGTGTACACCGTTTGACAAGTAACGGCGACCATAAAAATGATTCAACGAGATGGCGGCCTACCTGCTTATAATAATGGCCATAAAAATGCGACAATATGATGACGGCTTACTTGCTCTAAGCCACATCAGCACATGACCGGATGAAGCGTGAAGTGTGGAGGAAATCTTTCGAGGGACCACTCAGCAAGGACGCAAGCTCCTAGGAAGCGGTTACACGGATGGTCGCATTACTTTATTGAAACTGAGAAATATACATACATTTCTTTCTACTCTCAGCCAATCCTACTTGCTATTAATTTTAACTGACATACGATCCCGAAAGCACCCTTCGGAACTACATTGCGAGACATGAAAACTCTCCCCACCATCCGATGACGCTGTGCCGAATGATCAGACCACGTGATCTGTTTTTGTCTCTCACTTTTGGGAAAAATATCATTCATTTATTTATTTGCACACAGCCAACTACATGCTTGGAAACGTTAAAGCGCAGCTTTCTAAGCAGTGCTCAGGACTAATAGGAGGAATACAAGATTTATCTGCGTATCAAAACATGGTGCAGTATTTAACGATAATAAATTCTGATCGGTCATGCACCCAATGTGGTTTGTGAATACGTGTGTGAGCGGTTGCAGAATCGAAGATTGTGGCACACAGAATTCCGCCTGAAATTGCTCACACCACTGACTTGGGAAGCTTAACAGCGGCTGCAGATGAAGGGGGTATTTTGCCGTCCGAGAAAATGATACTGCGATCGAATGCGTTGGACATTGTGACGAAGGAGACTCTGATTCCTAACGTCGAGATATTTGACGTGAATTTCGGCCACACTATCAACAACCTCTTTCTAGGTGAGTTGCTCAGATAGGCTGGTTTACACCACGTCGGTAGGAGTGATTGTAAAATATCAGTGTGCACAAACCCAGCCGTTCGATTGATAACGGTACCCGTGCTTTGATGAGTATTCATTCTATCATCTAACCCATTGCCCCGTTTAGCGGAATCGCGCACACTATTCAGCCGGGCTTTATTATTTAAAATTGCTTAGTACACAAGTTGGCTTTACTCAGTGGGCTGCAGAAAACATTCAGTAATGCCTCGCGGTACTGACGTGTTTTACTAAACCAGATACAAAGTTGTCTGACTGACCAAAGGAATGCACTGGAAGAATCAGCCACGTATATAACGGGCTTGAATCCGAAAGGCCGCCTCAGTTGATTGAGCTCAATTTCACCTTGAGAATGTACTACTGCAGCTGAGCGCGTCATTATGTACAACGATAGTAAAAATGAGGTAGTAAACTTCTGTGAAGAGGTTTAGCTCTCAAACAGTGCGCCTACAGGAGAGCACCTTAACTCTCCTACAACAATGCCTAATCAATAAGTGTGAATATTGGACAACGAAGGATGGAGTTTAACCGCCGGAATGACCAGATGGTATTTAAGAAAATTCCTCCTTTAACGCGAATGATTCTATGAGGAAGCAACTTACGCAGGCGTTTCATACCAAACTGCATATATCAAAGCAGTTGGAATAGAGCCTACATAGAGTGCAGACAGCGCATTCGTGAACTGCTCGTTAGCAAAGTGAAATTCACGTAATCTTGGTACTAGTATGGGTCACAAGCGATTCACTCTAGCGAAATGCAATGTGTCACCGGGTGCCGAAACATGGGAAGCTTACACTATCCAGCAAAATCATTGCGTGAACCTGGTGCGCAAAGATAAGCTAAAGTAGCAACAAGATCTAGTTGATAAATTCTCCTTAACCACTAAGCTTCTTTACTAATATATTAACAAACTCCGTAAAGTGCAGCGCGTGATTCCTGCCCTCCACATGCCAAGTGGACCAGCACAAAGTACAACAGAACCGGTCAAAGTCCTACGTTCTCGATTCTCCGCAAAGTTCCAGAACACTACCTCGTTACCTATGATGTTCACGTAAGTTATATCACCACCAAGAATTACTCATATCTTATTTACGACTACAGATGTTTTGAAAATGCCAAATTCTGTACTCGCGCATAATTAGTGCTGATAATCCCCGACCAAAGGCGCTGACATCCGCTGCATTTAATTTGGCAGACCCACTATCCCAGTTCATCTGACGATGTCTCGGCGAGGTGTGGGTTCCATGATTGTAAAAGAACCGAACCGTCACTCTGATCCACAAGGGCCGAAATTGCGCAGATCCGGCCAGCTGTCGCCCGGAGTCTAGTATTGCCGAGGCGTTCATAAATTACTTGGAAGGATGCAAAACCATAGAACCAGAACAGCATGGATTCCACCAGAACCGGTCTTGCACCAGTTGCTCGCTTCAGTATGACAAAACTATTCAACAGCAGTGTGGGACTTGACGCAGTCTATCTGGACTTCTCAAATGTGTTCGACCGTCTGAACCACTACATCCACATTTAATAGTTTCGGAGTTGTGAAATCGGCAACCCGATTCTCGTATGGATGGGTAACTTTCTGATTCAATAACATCTGCATGTGAGAGTACGCAGTGCCATCTCTGACTCTATCGTTGTTCAGTGCGGAGTGCTACAAGGACTCAGTACTTGGTCCACGCCTGCTCCTGATTTACATAATTGATCTTGCAAGAATGAGCACTTCAAATTGCTTACTCTTCGCTGATGAGCTCAAGATATGGCGGGCCTTCAAAACAGCGAGTGACCATGTAGCGCTTCAGGATGACCTTGCTAGGGTATAGAGACAAGCGACTCTGAACCTGCTTCTCTGCAACGCCCCGAAGTATAAGTATTGAGAATAAGCTGTCAATCCACTTACGAGTACATGCTGAGGGACCAAACTTCGCAGCGTTCTACTACTGAATGCGATCTAGGTGTGATAGCACAAGAGGATCTTGGCTATTCACCTCAGGTCGAGAAGACATCCGAAAAAGATAACACTGGCGTTTTGCGGAGAGCACTCGGGGGGTTTGACCGTGCAATCTTCTCTCCGATACTCAATGCTTACAGTAGGCCCTATGCAGATTACGTTATTCACTTCTGGTAGCACTGGCACAAGCACGACTTCGCTGCACTTGAACTGACACAACAAAGGGCAACCAAGAACGCAGTTTGTTTCATTTCACCAACTGTGCTTGATAACCCTTGGGATCTATAGTGGACAATATCGACGCCTGCGTGGCGATTTGATAATGACCTACTTAATCTTGAGGAATTCAAACCATGTTTGTAATCACCTTCTGAAGCTGAATGAGAAGACCAGCCTGAGGAGTAACCAGCTGAATTTGACCACAAAGTATAGCCGGCTGGAATGACGCCGGACTTTCAGTTTGTGTGTGCCGAACACGGGACGTCCTCCCCACTTACCTTATTTCTTCCCCCACACTGACGGTATTCAAAAAACGTCTCGAGGAGGCACTCATACCTTAACATCACCCCATATAGCCCCCTATGTCCGGATGCAAACACAACACTATAAATCAAGGTGCACATTTTCACTTTCTGCTTACCCTTTACCAAACGTTGTTAATGTGAAAACTGGACTTAGGTATCCTGTGATCTCAGTAAACCTGCACACGAGTGAGCGTTATCATCTGCACATTTTATTTTTGCAGTATCATGTGAACTATAACCACTCCCCGTATTGCTTTGTGCATACACATTAAATTCTCATTTCAAGCTATCGTTGTGCAGCAGTGCAGTTATATTGTGAACGCTTAAACTAATTTTTTTAGTTTCCACTCCAACCATCATACGGGGCTTGTCAAGCAACTGCTTTTTTCCCCGTAATAAATCGTTGTCCATGTTTCGCTTTCCCTGTTGTATCATTAAGACAATCAGTTGCCGTGCAGGTGGCCTCATTAAGCGTACGATGAGCATAGAGTTGGTGTGCTTTCATTAACGAAATTGTTTGCCGGTCTATTCAGTCGCTGCAAATTGATGCGAAAGCGGAACGAAGCTACTGCAGAGCACCTTATGTTGCAGAATTAGTGTTTGTTATCCCTGTTAGCCCCAGCAGTAAAAACTACACCAATGGTCCTTTTTGATAGCGCCCATGAACCACGATGCGGTCGGATGTTTTGTAGCAGTCTTGCAAATCAGTGTGTCCACTGCAAGCGCGAAGTCTAAATCCCACCCACAGCTGGATGAAGAAAAATAATAAGGAGGTTAAATTCTTTGATATCACAAGTGGTAGAATAGATCAAAAATGTAGCAGGTCCAATGTCACTTGCCAGCCGGATAAACCATCTAATACCCGGCATAACTATGGCCCCATCTTCTCTTCGGTTGGCTGTATTTATCATAATAGTTGTATTTACCAATTGATTTGTCATCTTCATAATTCTCCGAGTAACTATTTTCATATGCGCCATAGTTGTTATCGAACTTTTCATCATATTTGTCAACACTCTTGCCATATTTGCTGTCATACTGTTCCTCGTCCTCGTAGGTATCCTCACTGTCGTTAGCATACTTTCCAAATTCTTCACTGTACCTGCTGTCATCATATGCGTACGGCTTACCGTACTCAATATCCGACTTGGTATATGATTGAGCATAACCATCCTTCTCCCCCTCTTCGTATTTGTTCTCATATCTACCTCCATATCCGTCATTTAACTTGTCATACTTGCCACCATATTTACCATAGGACCGGATATATCTGTTCTTGTGATTATCTTCGTACTCTTTATGGGGGTTAAAATAACCTATATCTTCACTACCCCAGTTTTTACCAAGCGATCTGCTGTGCTTCCTTCCATATTCATCATCGTACGCACTGTCGTATTCATCACCGTATTTGTCGTAGACCCTGTCATACTTGCCACCCTTTTTAGTATATGGATTTCTGTGTTTGGACTGTTTCTCGTCATAATCGTCGTCAAGTTTTCCGTACTTATCATCGTAGTCGAATTCATATTTGTCATAGAAATCACCGTGTTTGTCGCTATACTCGCGCTCGTATTTCCCATACTCGTCTTCGTAGTTTTCTTTAACCTTACCATATTTCGGCTGATATATTTCAAGCCCGTATTGGTCGAATTTATCCTGTTTTCTTTCGCCGTGATCGTCATATCCATAGAACCCATCCATGTATTTGTCACTCTTTTCTTCAAATTTGTCATTGCGATAACCGCGTTCCAAGGGAGTTGATTTGTATTTGTACTGGTCATCCTCTGCGTACCTTTCATGGGCTACCATTTTGATGAACTTGGGCACATGCTTCACTTCCTGACTAAGCTCCCTTTGCTTGTCTACTCGTTTCTCGTAACGGACAGCTTGCTTTTTCTGATACTGACTTTGGCCAAGCTTTTCTACCTTCGGATGGGTTTGTTCATGCTTGGTCCACGGATTCTCATAACTCTCGTCTTTACCGTAGAAGTCATCATCCTCATCAAAATGATCGTAATTGATAAATTGGTGTTCACGCTTCTCGGTATCAGTGTCGATTTTACTGGCTTCTTTTAAGTGAACCAGGGACTCTTTTTCCGTCTCTAACCGCTTCTCCAATTTTGGAGAGGGACTCAACTCGTATTCCAAAGCATATTTTGATCGAATAGGCACGGCCGCGACCAGCGACCAGCAAAACAGCGAGACGGGCAATAATAGAAGTCTCATCTTTATGCTGGATGATCACTGGTAGTGATATTTATATATCGTCCTTGTCAATTAAAAACGCTCGATACTAGTACCAGAAGTGGGTCACTATGCTGGATCAATTCGTTCGTTGTGCGCCGGTTGTCTGATGCATCGATAATAGCGCGACATTTCAATCAATGTTTTCAGTTAGTTGGTTCGGTTTGTCGGTTCGGTGCTGTGATCATCTGAACCGTGGATTTAGAGGACAAATCTTAAGAAAGCTAGCCATTCATAAGTTGAATCTGAGCAGTTATTCATTCGTACGGCCTCAACGTTTACTTTAAGCACTTGTAGAATGGCTGTATGTCCGGCTTTGTTAAGCATAGGGTGAGCAAATGAGTTTTGGAAGTAGCTGTCACCAAAGCAGGAGTTGAGGCATACTGAACCACAAAGGTCACTGACGATAGTACATGAAGATGTTACGGCCTTTAGACCGGGGAATACTCACTACATACTGGGGCTGTAGAATGATGAATGAGTTTATGGCTGTTAATAGCGAACTGTTTTTCCCGTCATACTCCAACTTAACGAATCTGTTCAGCATCCCGAGATGAATATGGTATTCATCATCAAAAAACGCACAGTGTGCTCACTATTCTATTCTAACGTGTTTCATCTTCAGTCTAAATTGAGGGTAATGGCATGTGTTTTCAACAAAGCATGTACTTCACCGGCTATGATTAGCAAATTTTGTCCATACTGTGGCATACGTATTCAAGAGATTGTAAACAACCGCCTCTTAACGCCGGTCCATGCGACAATAGCCCCTTGAATGGGTTAGATAGAATACAAGGTACATAAGATGAAATTGATCAAACGCCATCGTAGAAGCGCTAGGTAGATGGCATTTTTGCCCATGGTTCATCAGAACAACAGATAGTGGGACTGGCAGCCCGCTTGCAAACTACGCATGCCAGTTTGAGGGTATGATGTGAAGTAAGCGATGTAATTGCATCAGTTGCTTGAACGGAGTCATCAATAGCAGAGGCCAGTCTACGAAGCTGTGATCCCGCCAGCATCTCCATTTCATCAGCCACATATTTAAGAGGAACAATTAAACGTTCGACAGGGGTGAGTAATTAATCACACCACACGGATATGCTGATCCGGTTGTTTGGTTGCTAAAATGGTGCTGTTTGTAAACAATTTAATAACAAGCGTCATCATTTTGTGTTTATTAGGCCATATGCGATGAACAATGAATGCTGCGCCTCTAGTGACTGTGAACATATAGAAATACCTCTACGGTTAGCGTACGTATATTGAAGATTGCAAGATTTCTGACCTCTGTTGTTATCATTAACCTAACTCCAAGTTAAAAGTACATCAAGAGGATGAAACTCATATTACTCCATATAGCGGTGATTTCTTACCTAAAGGCACAAGCAACATAGTGTGTTCCAAGTTGGAGTACACACCATTCATACCCAGCGCATGCACCATACTCTCGTGGACCATTGGCACCTCCGCTGGATGGGCGTTTTTTGGCCGGATTAAAGCTAACTCCTCGTTCAGAGTTTCCCTACGTGACATTACCAAGCACTTCTTCCAAGGAATATACGATGAATCGGTCTAAACAAGTGTTTATGTTTGAAATTACCCACTAGTCAACAACAGGTCGCTATAAACACAGGAGACAGAATTTCTTCTCTCGTATATGTGCTTATAGAAACAAATTTCATATCAATTTCACATTCTCGTTTTCGGCGACGCATATTTGTTAAGGCATGTTCAGATAAACAAAAACAATTTCAGGTGCAACGACTAAGAATGGTCGGAAAATGTACTAGTGTTGCAAATCGATTTTCAATTTTTGCAGGTATAATTGTTTATCGTGTGTTACCTGATGGTAGAATTGGTAGGCAGCTTGAGAATATGGAAGTTTAAAAAGATGTTTCGGATAATAAGAAAGTAGATTTAATGCAAGCATAAAGCGTACATACATTTCATATAGCACGTTGTGACGGTTGCTTTGCCCAAAGCTTCTCAGGAATATCGGATGTTGATGGTGGCACTCACATGAGAGTGGAGGAAGTGGGGCGCTTAGAAAAGGAAAATGTGAGAGTGGACTGCAAGTAGAATAGTAGGGATATCGACAACTGAAGTCGGGGAAAGTAGAAGTATGTTCAGTAGGCCTCCTCCCTCAGTACACACTTGCTGATAATAACTCCGTGGTTGGCATAGCCGAGTAAGACAGGAAAAAAGACGATGGATGTAGAAGCTTTCATAATTCAATATTCTTTTTCTGTCATAGACCGCTTTCTGGATCCATATGACTCCCGGGCCTTGTTCCCATGGTCGCCTATTTGTCATGTGACATCCCGATAGCTTAATCATGTTTTTCACAATTAAATATTTGTTGGTCCTGATGTGAAATTCGAGCTCCGATTTGTAACTACGTATTCTGGGTGAAAATTTATTCTAGATTCCAGCATTTCTGTTAACGAAGTAGTTCTTGTATCCAGCAATCTTCGACCTGAATTCCAGCAGTGAATTCTCCTTATTTCATGTGTTGCAAAAGGTTGAATTTATGTTTTCCCCACTAAGGTAGGAATGCATGCTTTTTTTGTGAAGGACGTTAAAGTAGATGATTTGGTTGTGCTTCATGCGTCTCAGCCAGAGGGGATCAAGTGTGAGCTTTTCACATTGTTCGAAATTTTCTACTTTTGATGAGGTACTTAGTAAACCTTTACTGAAGGTTCGTTGTATATGTTAAAGTGCATTGCTATCGCGCATTTTGTGCTACGGTATACCACTGAACAGTTATCCAATAGGTGACGAAAAAGTGATGAGCAGTTGCAAACTGTACGTGTTCCAAACAGTTCTGGCCTAGGCAGTAACGTAAGGTACTTCATTGGTTCATTGGTTGGTAGAGAGCAGAAGGAAGTTCCTGTGTCAGCTCCGTCACTTTCCGATATTGTCCCCTCCTCCGTTCGTAAAAATATAAGCACTACTTGTCCATGAATGATCTAATTTAATGTCAGCACTCCGAAGAATTGTCATCTGGTGTTATCCGTTAAAACGTATCGGTAGACAGGGAGGCGCATCCGACCGGAACGTCGAAAGTTTGCATTAATCTGTTAAACAGCACTTTGGGAAAGTGCTGTATGCAGCCGTCTCGCATTTACCTTTGTCCCATCAGCGACTTTGTAAGTTCCTGGTGTGCACACAGATTTCACACGGGTCGGCGGTCCGAACACATTACCTCCTTTCCGGGAATAGGGTAGTCTCACACGAACAAATGCCCTGGAGGATACCTCCTCCCAACACGTCTATATCTAGCCCTGTAAACATCCGACTTTCGTATTCGCTGTGATCAGTGGTTTCTTCGGATGTAAAGGCTGCATTTAATCGAGTTCGAATTGTTCGCTCTAGCATTAGTTCCGACGGGGTGGTTGCCTTTGAGGTATGTGGAGTGGTTCTGCATACCTCCAATGCAGACACCAACGCATCATCCCGGGATGCTCCCAAAAGCCGAAGGACTTGTAGAAATTCTTTCAAAGTACGATTAATTCGTCCGACGAGTCCGTTCGCTGCAGGATTATAAGGTACAGTCCTCGTGTGTCTGATACCATTGCGTCTTAGGAATTCAGCATACTCGTTACTTCAAACTGCGGGACATTACCAGTGCCTATTTCTTCCGGCAAACCGTACCTTGCAAACAAACAACGGAGCCACTTTATGATGATGACTGTAGTTATGTTCCCGCATAGAATAGCCTCTGGCCATTTGCTGTAGAAACATGTAGACACTAGCAGGTTTCACTTCTGCGGAAGTGCATTGGCAAACGGACCCATAATATCGATGGCAATTTTTGCCCATGGCTTCATTGGGTACACGATAGGTTGGACCGGAGCATTCATGGACCTCGCACTCTTATCGGATTGTTGACAGGCGTAAAATTCCCGAATAACCGCCTGCACGCTGGAATTCAACTTCGGCCACCAATAGTATTGCCGTATCAGAGCTTTTGTTTGCACAATCCTTGGATGACCTTCATGTACACATGCAACCACCATAGAAATAAGAGCTGCAGGGACAACAAACTGCTCGTCACTAATAATGCAATTGTTCACAGTAGAAAGCTCGTGCCGTAGAGTATGGTATGGAAGCAACTTAGGTTGGATGTTGGTACGACTGTGCCATGAAGTGAATATGTACTCCCGAAGCTTCGCTAGGACAGGGTCTTTGTCAGTGTGCTCTCGTATCCGGTTAAATGCTATCATAAGTGTTCCGTCTGAGAGCTGCGATATCATATTTACCTCCTCTGAGTCCACGTTTTGCCCTTCGTTGGAGAGTGGGAGGCTCGACAGGGCATCTGCAAGTTGGTTAAGGCACTCTGGCACGTATTTTAGTTCATAATCATAGTTCAATAAACACGAGTATCATCGACTCAAGGGTATCGGCTTTTGGCTTTTGTTACCGCGACTTAGTAGCGTTGTAAGACCAGAATTATCAGTGCACAAAGTGAATCGACGTCCGAATAAGTAAAAGTGCCATTTCTCACATGCCTAGACGCATGCGAGGACCTTCTTCTCGCCGGTGGAGTACTTTGTTTCAGTATCAGATAAGGTACGCGATGCGTACGCAATCACTCTCTCCTGGCCATCGTGCAGCTGGGACAGAACTGCACCCAAGCCAACATCTGAAGCATCCGTTGAAACAAACGTTGGACAGTGCTTCTTGAAGATCGCTACTGTTGGAGTGGATTCAATCATCGCTCGTATGGTCATAATGTAGAGGGGCCGCTTCCAAGAACGCCTCGGGGGAGCTCTTCGGAGCTAGCTGAGAGCGGATCGAGTAGGACGGCTAGCGACGAGTCTGGGCCCGGAACTACGGAGCGGGAATATGTGGACAGCGCAATAAATCAGACATATACGCCGCTAGCGCAGCCCACAGGACCGAGGCCGAGCCGATTGACACAGCCCAGAACAAGCAAGTCGAGAGCTCTCGAACGACTCCTGGCCGATCCAAATCGGGTACAGA